TCCTCCTCCTCCTCCTCCTCCTCCTCCTCCTCCCCCTCCTCCTCCTCCTCTTCTTGCGATGGGGATGGGGATGGGGTTAAAGTCAAACTTGACTGGACATGGGGGCATGTCGGGCGCATCGGCGCATGGGACAGGAAGTGGGAGGGGGGATGAAGGAACAGAAGGGTGCGCTCCTTACTGGCCACCTTCTCGAGGAGGCCGAAGCTACCGTCGAAGCCGCGCCTGCGAGGCAAGTTTCGGAGAGTGATGGCGATATGTTCGCGTCACATGGAAAGGCTATCATAAGGCAACAAGGGGGGAAGTCTGCAGGCTGAGTAAAAGATGCGTGACAACCTGGGCGCGCTCCACCATATGATAACAATCTACGAGCTCCACTCAATATGTTCTCATGCGACTTTGTCTCACCGCTCACGTCCCCTGGTCCAATGCCAGATGCAGTGCGCACGCCACAACATACATGGATGACAATAGCACGTCTGCAATCGGATGGAGCGGCAAAAAAAAACTTGTCGACGCGATACGTTGCAGATATAACCGATGTATGCCAACATCTAGCGACGATTCTGCTGATCTAGAGGAAGAACAACTGCACAAACATAAGCTTGTGGAGGTCCGCGCGGATTGCTAGGATCTGCGCTGGACCCCCCGCCCTGGAGCGAGGAACGCGCCAAGGGCGGCGCTGGAGGCGCCGTTAGGGATCAGCGCGGATTCGAGAAATCCGCGCGGAGCGCCAACAGTTTATGTTTATGCAGTTGTTGTTCCCCTCCTTCGACGATCGTGGACGCGACGCGAAGAAGACACGGGTCGCTCTGCGAAGGACGCCTCTTTGCGGTCAGCAAGGCCCCTCGAAAGAGAGCGAGAGGCCGCCCTCCCCTCCTTCGCTCGAAACCATGGCCTGGGCTGGCCAGGGCCGTGCGGTCCAAGAACGGCTCTCCCTGCTGCTCCTCCTCCTCCTCCTCCTCCTCCTCCTCCTCCTCCCCCTCTATCCTCCTCCCTCCTCCTCCTCTCTAGCTCCTGAGTGCTGCTGGGCGCGCATCCGTTGCTACTTTTGCGGCGCCGCTTTTTCGGCGGCGAGCGAGGAAGGAGAAGCGAGCAGGAGAAAGCCTCCTCAGCGAGGCGGCGGGACTTCTCAGAAGCCCTCGCGCCTTCAGAGAAGTTTCTTAGAAGCCCTCGCGCCTTCTCAGAAGCCCTCGGGACTTCTCAGAAGCCCTCGCGCCTTAAGAAGCCCTCGCGCCTTCAGAAGCCCTCGCGCCCTTTCTTTGTGGAAAGCTTGGGGAACTTCTCAGAACGCCGGGGGACTTCCGAGTCCTCTGAGAGGGCCTTCTCCTCTGCCTTCTCCCCCTGCTCGCCGCCGAAAAGGGTACCGATACCGCTGCTCTCAGGACCTTTCCTCGGCGGGTGCGTTCTGACCAGGATTTCGAGGAATCCAGCGGTGGCGAAGAGGGTCTTCCAGGAGGCCCCCCAAAAGGGAAACGAGGAAAAAATCCGCCGATCCGGCGTGTGAGTTCCTGAGAGCGTGGACTTGAGCTCGCTCAAGCTTCGCTCTGCAGGGGGGGGGGGGGCGTACGTTATTTCCGGCGTCATTTCCGACGTTTTTCGGTACCTGGGGATATTTCCTACGTCATTTCCGACGTTTTTCGGTCTCCCCCCCCCTGGATCGGCGGCATGGGCCGGAGGCCAGCCCAATACCGGTATGGGTGCCTTTCTTCCTCTGACTCTCGGGCCACCTGGCCTCTCGCGCTGCGCACCGCACTCGGTGGGAGACCCGCTCGTCGCCGATGCATCGGCGACGCGTCGGCGCGGAGGACAATCGGGCTCCACAATGGAGCCGCATCGCCGATGCCGTCGGCGAGGTGGCGCGATCCCTCCGACCTCAGCTGCTCGGGACCCCCTCGGGAAGGCCTGGGGGCCCCCCCCTCCGAATTTTCGGCGCGCTGCGCGACGCCCGACTGGAGACCCGGTGGGGCCACGCAGGCCTCCAACGAGAGGCCATGCCTGGGAGGGGCTCCTGCTCTACAGCTCTGCAGTTGTACAGTCGAAGTGCAGCGGAGGCCAGCCCACAAGAAGCCTTCCACGAGAAGCCCAACCCTGGGACCCCAGGACGTGCATTGATCTCTGGTGTCGGAACTTCACGCTTGTCACAACGAAACCGTCGAAACCCAAGACACCCAGGGCACCCTGGAGGCATGGATGGTTTGTTGGCATGGGCCTCCACTATACTCTATTGTTGATGGGCCTGTTTTCCACCACCACCACCACCATAAGATGGAGGGGGAGGGAGGATGAGGATGAGGATGAGGATGAGGAGGACCCCCTCTACCTCCTACTTATGGTGGTGGTGGTGGTGGAAAACAAGCCCACCCACAGTTATACAGACGAAGTATGGCCGCAAGGGCTCTGGCCAAGAGCGTGCGCCCCCGCGCCCAAGGCCCAAGGGCCCGTGGAGCTACCCAAACAGGGCGCACTCCACGAGTGCCCTGGGACACACAGAGAGACGTACTATAGAGGCCTCCTATAGAGGGGGTCGGAGTAGATGGGGTCGGAAGTGGCGCCGCATCGCCGATACATCAGCGATGCATCGGCGATGCATCGGCGATGCACTGGCGATGCATCGTCGACGTGGGCGATGCATCGGCGACGCCGGCGTGGAGAAATCGGGCTCCGCATCGAGCCGCAGCGTCGATACATCGGCGATCGATGCGGCGCGATCCTCCGACCCCATCTAGGAGGCCTAGATACTAGTCGGGCATTGGCAGAACTGGGTTCAATGTGACCTGGTTTGCTGACATGTACGGGGGGACGCCCCTCCCCGCCCCGTTCCACTAAGCGGAACTGCCGTCACCCGAACAACACTAGTCACGGCAGATCTGGTTTAGTGAATCTGGCCAATTGAGGGGCTCTGGGGCTCTACTATTAACCGGGTCCCCTTACCTGGGGTCCTGGCTATACCAGAACTAGTGCTGCATGTCCTCCTTGGCGGCGCGCGCGTCCGACCCGAACATATACTCATCGGTCGAAAGAAGTAGGTAGAACCACGAAGTAGGAAGGCGTTGGAAGCAGATTGGGCGTCCGCCCGCCCCCTAAAGAGGGAGGAAAAGGTGAAGCCACTCGATCATTGAAGTAGGAAGGCGTTGCAAGTAGACTGGAATCTGGGACTGCAAAAATACCTGCTTTCAACAACCGATGGGTACCCATCTTATAGCATATCGTTTCCCGAGCGGTGCGGCCAGAAAGCGCTCGCCACGACGCATACACCATAAGATTTCTCGGTGCGCGCGTCGCACCGAGGAGGGGTGACGCACACACAGTGTTACTATGTTGTGGTGACGCCGATACCTCTCCAAAGCTACGGTTATTCTTTACCTACGTACCCACCGCATCAGTCCCCGAGGATCTGACACCCAGGGGCGCGCCAGAGCGAGATGGCGATGTCCTCCTTGCCAGGGGGCGACGTCTTGTGGATACACTCGAAATCCTTCACGAAGTGGGCGTACAACCTCAGAAACGACTGGCGTGAGTGAACGCAGCACAAATTGGCCGGGGTAAATGGGGTCCGAAGATCGCGCCGCATCGCCGACGCATCGACGACGCATAGCCGATGCATTGGTGACGCCGATGGAGAAAATCGGGCTCTGGACTGCGCCGCACAGCCGATGCATCGGGGACGCGATCCTCGGATCCCATCTACTCCGACCCCATTCTGGCGGCCTGGATTGAGCCAGCTGCAAAAGGAGAACGCGACCCCAATCGAGCATGCTGCGATCTGAGGGGTAACATCGCACGAGTAGGACCACATGGACCTACCAAAACGCCCCACCACTGTTTCACGGCTGTGCGCTCTCATCATGTTTGCGGCAAGACGAGATGGCGCCTACGCGGGCCACCAGCGAGGCACACCGCGTGGAGAAGAGGGCGCTCACTCGCGATCTTCTGCGGGCAGCTTGCGCGCGAATGTCGGCGAGGTCGACACCGTTTTCTTTCGTCGCCTAAATGGACATCCTATTTCGGACGCCCGAAATGGGTACGGAAAAAATGGGTACAATGCCCAACAGCAAATGTTTTCCCAAACCGACAGCGGCCGCTGTTGCGCAGGCAGCTTTCTGTCTTCAGTGAAGAATGCCCGCGGCGGCGCTGACAGGGAGCCCTGTTCAAAATGAACGGGAACTACTGTTGAGCATTGTACCCATTCTTTCCGTACCCATTTCGATCGTCCCGACCCCATCGCGTCTCATCGCTAGTCCCATGGCCGGCCGCTCCGAAGCTATTTTTCGCGGCCCACAAGTCCGACGACCCTGCGTGCTTCGCGAGCACGAGCCACCACCACGGTTGGATTGGCTGCTGCAGACGAGGCCCGCCCACGGACGCTGTCGAGAGACGGCTCGCCCGGCGCTGGCCCTCACATCCAGTGTGCCGGCAACGAGCGTCGCCGCAAACGCCAGAAGAAGGCACCCAGTGACACCGAACCATACCCAATTACCCCCAGTTGCACCCAGTCTCTCCCGGTTGCACCTGCTTTCACAACGCTATATCGGAATACCTAAAACTCCACTCTGATGCAACACATGCGTTTCGCGCAATGCTGCAACTTGTCCCAAGGGGGCTGCAATTGCGCCTGTCCTCGAAACCCCCCAGGGCAATTCTGTACAAAACAATATGTTTCCCAACCATCCTGTGGTGTTGGGTCCTCGTTTTGAAGAGACACGGCCCCGCGTTCCTCACCTCATCCCCTCCCCCTTCTCCCTCGTTCCTCCTGCCACATCGCCTGTACCCTCCGCATGTCTTTATTTCGGCACACCCCTCACACGTTTCGTGGCCCCATAGGGAGCTCCACCAAAGGCCCGATGGATAGAGCCCGCATGGCACCACCGCGCCAAATTCGGCACACCCCTCACACGTGTCATGGCCCCATTGGGAGCTCCACCAAAGGCCCCAGTGGCAGCGCCCGCATGGAACCACCGCGCCCGATTCGACACACCCTTCGCAAAATTTCGTGGCTCCATAGGGAGCTTCATCAAAGGCCCCAGTGGCAGCGCCCGCATGGCGCCACCGCACCCGATCCGACACACCCCTCGCAAGTTTCGTGGCTCCATAGGGAGCTTCATCAAAGGCCCCAGTGGCAGCGCCCGCACGGCGCCACCGCACCCGTTTCGACACACCCCTCGCAAGTTTCGTGGCCCGATAGGGAGCTCCACCGAAAGCCCCAGTGGCAGCGCCCGCATGGCGCCACCACACCCGTTTCGGCACACTCCTCACATGTTTCGTGGCCTCGAGAAGTGCTCCATTGAAAGCGGTCGGTACCCACAACGCGGTACTCACAACTGCATATGGGGGTCTCTCGCCAAGATCATTTTTCGCAGAAAACATGGGAGCGGGCACCGACCGATCCGCTGCCCCTGACGGGGACAACGTGAATGTCGTGCCAACCCTGCCGATAATCAGTGCGGCTGCGGGGTCCAACTCCAGGCCGTGTTTTATGAGTGTGATCGGAGCTCGGCCGCAACTAAGCGGCTAAATTGCATGGGATGAGTAGGTTAGCCCCCGCGGAAAATTCTGACAAGTCCTACCTCCCCTTGTGGACAGCAAGAACACAAAAACGTGTCACGGACTCGGTGCGCCTACACAACACAATTTTGTTGTACAGAACTTTTCCCTTTCCTGTCATCATGATCATCACCACCACCACCGCCATCATCATCACCATCATCATCGTTATTGTATCGGCATCGTCACCATCATCAACAGCAGCAACATCATCACCATCACCATCACCATCACCATCACCATCACCACCACTACGACCATCATCATCATCATCACCACCACCATCATCGTCGTCATCATTATCACCATCATCAATCAATTCATCACCACAGCCACCGCTATCCTCATCCTGCTACTCCTCCTCCTCATTATCATCGGCAGTGGCAATCGCAAGCTGTAGTGGACGGGGCTAGATGAGATTCAAGAAGCTGGTTTTGTAAAGGATCCCCCCTTCATCATCATCATCATCAACAACATCATCATCGTAGCATCATCAGGTCAATCGTCACGCTCAACACAATCAGTAGCCACCACATCATCATCAGCATCAGCATGCTCATCATCATCAATCCCACCATTGCCATCAACATCATTGTCATCAACAACATTACCATCCTCCTCCTCCTCGTCATCTTCATCACCAACACCACCACCGTCATCATCCTCACGACCAGTATCCCCATCGTCAGCAGCATCATCACCCTAATTATCATCCTCTTCCTCATCATCTTCATCCTGATTCTCCTCTTCACCATCATCATCATTGCTATCACCGGCAACAGCCATCGCAAGCCTTTGAGGGTCGGGGGCATTTCTGTACGCGAAGTTGGGCTTGTACAGAAGGTTCCCTTCCCCGTCAGCATCCTCATCATTATCCTCATCATCTAAATCATCATCATCGCCACCACCATCGTCGTAATCATGGACCTCATTACCATCCGGATTCTCGTCATCATCACCACCACCACCCTCATCATCAACATCATCGATAGCATTCTCATCCTCATCTTCGTCCTCATCACCTTCATGCACATCCTCATCCTTCCCCTCATCATCATCAACAGCCGTTGTGGTCTGGGGGGAATTCTGTGCACCAAGCTGGCATTGTACTGAAATTTTCTCGTCCTCGTAATAATCACCATCACCACCATCATCATCAACATCATCAAGAAAAGAAGAGGACGAGGAGCAGACAAGGCAAACCACACACGAAGAGGACGACGAGGCGAAGACGCAGGAGAAAGACCCCTCATCTTCTTTCTCCTTGGCGGCGATGTCTCTGGAGGTGGGAGACACGGAACACAACGTACAAACGATGATCACGAAGACGAGGGTGGAAGCGGAGCACAAGTTATACCATTGCGCTATGTCGAGGCGAACGCAATATCCACGATCACCGACCAGTGGGCGACACTGCGAACAGCGCGAGGGACAGCACCTACGGTAATGTGATGTGAAACGGGGCACGTGAAGCGATGAGGGGGAACCTGTGTGTCTGCTTAAAAAGAACGAGCAACACATTACCCATCGGTCGGAAGAAGTAGGTAGAAACATGAAGTAGGAAGGCGTTGAAAATAGATTGGGTTCCGCCCGCCCCCTAAGAGGGACGGAAAAGGTGAAGCCACTCGATCATTGAAGTAGGAAGACGCTTAAACTAGATTGGAATTTGGGAATCCAAAAATACCTACTTTCAACGACCGATGGGTACAGCACATTCACCCTCGCCATGCACGGGGCCGCGTTCGGCCATGGATCGTGCCTACCCTGGTTGCACGGTTTTGCCCGCCATGCGGGGCGCCATGGCCTCCGCAACGACGCACACGCAACCCAACCCGAAGACCCGAATTTCGGGCTGGGAGGGTATGGGCTCCATATGTTTTTTTCGATGTTCCCGGACCCCCCCCACTGGAAATGGAGGGCAGAATGAGGCCTTCGGGTTGGGTTGGGGTGGTTTGGTGGGTGGTGAAACACTCCATTCTGTGCTTCCCCTCAGAGGAACTATCCCGAGACAAGCATTGGAACACCACCCTAAAAAAAAGACAGACCCCCGCCGTCTACACCAGCTGCAATGAAAAATCCCCCCCCGCTCAACATGTCCCCACAAGGCTACGCAAAAAGAGCCCCCAATCCAGACCATGACATGTCACTACGGCCCACGACAACACGAATTCCCTCCTCTAAGCTGGCTGCGCTGGAAAACACGCTCTTTACACATTGTCATCACAATGCCACGCAAACATATTCCCCAGGCGGAGATGGTCGAGCACCACAACAGACGACAAAACGAACTACCGCCACTTACATCGGCTTCGCTGGGCAACACGCTCCTCCCAAAATATCCCCGCGACGCCACGCAAACACTTTCCCCTAGCTAGACCTTAGAATACCACTGCAACAAACGACACCACGAATTCCCCCCTGTCGACATGTCCACGCAACGCCACGCAAACATATTCCCCAAACCTGACCTTAGAGCACCACTGTAACTGACAATGACAAGACTGCGTATTCCCCATCCAAGAAAGCCCATACAACGGCACACGAACATATTCCCCAAGTCGGACCTTCACATATCACTACACTAAGCGACGCGAAAAATCCCCCCTCGCACAATGTCTTCACCGCACCACGCAAACATATTGCCAACTCTAGAATTTCACTGCAACAAACGGCACAACGAATTCCCCCTTCGTAGCCAAACCGCGTGACGCAGACATATTCCCCCAGCGAGACCTTCGAATATCACCGCAACAAGACGCAAAACCAACTCACCCTCCTAAAACATATTCGCAACGCCACGCAAACAACATCCCCCAGCCATGCTTTAGAATACTACGAACACCGACAACAAACATTCCCCCATGTTTACAATATCCACTCATCGCCAGGCAGACATACTCCCCCCAGCCGGAGCTGCAAGTACCGCTGCTACGAACGACAAAACTAATTCTTCCCT